CCCGACACCAACAGCAACAGACAGAGGATAGAGAGCAGGGCATACCGTCACTAATTTTGACACCACGGAGACTGGAAATAATCCAAGCGCAGGTATGAATCCGACATCGAGGTGCACCACCGCCATCCGAGACTCCATCTGCAACCGCGATGCAGGCGCGCCGTCGCCTTCAATGGACCATCAGATGCAGCGATAGAGAAGCACTTCGCTAGGAGGGGAGAGAAGGTTGAAGACGACCCCTAGCCGGTCTTAATCGTCGCCGATGTAGGCGGAGCCGACGAGAAGATGAGGAGTTGCGCGAGGGATTTGGGGGTTAGGTTTTTTAGAAGCTGCGCGTTACGGTATAAAAAATCATGATGATTGGATTTTGACTCAAATCTATACTTATATTAAAAGCTATACTATTTACTAAATGTAGTATGTAAAATAGTCAACTCTAATTAATGATTTGCTATTTTTATCAAGCATTTAATTAATGCATCTAATATTTTTGGTATGCAAATCAAATTAACATTTAATTAGTTCCTAAAATATTGGGTATGCAATATTAATTTACGAAAATTCATGTAGTTCCTAAAATGTTGGTATGCAATACGTAAAAGAAGATTTTTAATTTTATTAAATATTAAATATTGCAACACGTAAAACTATTCCAGTTATTTTTTAATTTATTTTACATATAAAATCTAATCAATATTTAATGCATTCTACAAAATTGGATTTAGTTTAATTCTCCATACAGTTGGTTGTAACTTTTTCAGTTGTACTTTTTTAATTTATTTATTTTACACTTTTAAATTAATGAAGCTCTCCGAAAATACTAAATCAAATGATTTATGAAAGTTTTTTGTTTTCTTTACAATTTTAAATCTATATAACCAGCTTAAAAAACTCATCGCTATATAGACGAGTTTAAGAAAATTTCATAACCCAGTTAAGAAAATTTCATAACCCAACTTTTAAAATTCCATCTCCACGAGTCAAAAAAATCACATCCCTCATCTATCGTAACAACTTTAAAGGTAAATAAATAAAAGTTTAATTACTACTATAAATCCATTATCTATATAGATTTTTTAAAAATCTAAATTTCACATATCTAATTACTAATATTTTAGATACTTTTAAATATTATTTGTATAAATTTTTTTACACATTTGCTCTCTCTATATATATACATATATGGAGGTTAAATGAAGAATTTGTAGACATATTTTCCTTACAGGTAGTTTAGAAAAATTTAGGTAACTTCAAACATTATTTTTCAATAATATAGAATATTTTAGATGCTTTTATAGATGTTATAAAATATTTTAAGTATTTTAAATATTTATATATCACACTTAAAAAGAATAATTTGCCAAAATAAAAACATTAAATACACATTGTAAATGTTAATAGAAACATTTTTTCAGTGTTCGTCTTTGATTTTGTCAAAACAAATCTCATAAAATCGATGAAGTCAAAATTTGTACGTAAAGTCTATCTATACTAAAAAAAGGTAGATTCAAAATTCTTTATCTAAGTTCTTCTTTTCCTTATCTAATTCCTTCTCATTATCTAATTGTATAGAAATATGTTCTGATTTTGTTAAATCCTCTAATTGTATTTGTATTATATCCAAAAATCTCATAACATCCGATAAGTAAAAAAAAGTACGTAAAATCTTTACTAAATTAAAGAGGCTTTATTCATTATCTAATTTATTATCTAAATGTATAGAAATCTGTTCTGATTTTATAATACGTACTACAAATTGTGCACCCGTGTTCAAGAGCTACTTAACGAGCAAACTCTGTGGAAATAACTCATTTGGTGCTTCTGTCCAGTGCATACGGCATCTATTTGTATTACACATACTAGAAAATTGTGCACCCCGTGGATCGCACGGACTCTGTACTAATAAATGACCTTAAAATTGTGCACCCCGTGCATCACCCGTGTTCACATTCTGGCCTATTACAAGTCACGTACTATATATATCCCGTATATTTTTCTTTATTCATTTATATAATTATAAGACTTGATAAATGACCTTAATTTTGTGCACCCCGTGCATCGCACGGGATCTGTACTAGTAATATCAATTTTGAAATAATTTGGCACGGATTTGATAATAATTGGTTGATGGATATACAAATATAAAATAAATAATATAATATAAAACATAATATGTCTGAACGTCTTTCTGCATCTAGAAAGACTTCTATACAATAGGTTTTTAGGATTATGTGGTAATAGAAGAGAGCAATCCATGAATAATTGAAAATGCTTTTGCGTTTCACTTACATGTCAAACTACCAATACAAATACGAAAAATTCATCATCCAGTTGGATTTGTAGTCAAGTAGAAATTCAAAACGTAAATAATATCATGTTTTATAGAAGTTTTTAATTATTGTCATTTTATCTTACTTAGTTGCCTATAAAATCTCAACCTTTTATAAAAGAATTCAAATAAAACTTAACATTTTTTTTGGTACATTCCCAGGGCTCGAACACGAGACCACTGGTTAAGCTGGAAGAGACCCAAACCATCCCATCCAAGCTTTTTAACTTTACAATAAATATCAAACTTTTATTATATGTTGCAAAATTGTCTCAAAACCATTTTTTGGCCAAGTCGAGCTGACCTGTCAATTAGAATCTTACATGGCACTGATGAGGCTTGCGTGACTGACCAATGTTTTCACATCATCCTCCATCTAGTAATAAAATCAACAATAAAATAAATATCCTAATTTCCCCAAATATTATAATAGCACCATGTTTTTTGCTCCATTCGTAAAATCAAATTCTTCTCTCCCAATTGAAATAAAAAATTAACGATTCTTCTCTTCTCCATGGACGATTCTTCACCAAATCGAGTTCACCCCCAACATTCTGAATACAATTACAAGCCACCCCCAAATTCTAAAAAATAAAAGGCAGAAGGGCGATGTTGGCCAATGGAGAACACGTAAATTCTAA